TGATATTGGTTGTGGGTTTGTCATATATGGCTCTTATTATTTTGAGGTATGTTCCAAAAATATGGAATGCATCAAGAGTTTGCGTGCCATCCTTGCACAGGGACCGTGCTAATCTTCTCTGTATGGTTCCAATTTTAGTGTATGTGCTGCTGAAGCGAGCACCAGTTTTCTTAATTGGAACAAATCAGCACAGGCATTTGTCCTGGAAAGCAGCTATTTGGCCAGCAAACACCTGTTTTGTTGTTGTTTTTCAGTCTATCCCAACATGTAGAAAACCATAAAGGTGGTTTGCTCTTAACTGGGAGGGACAGCAGTGTGGACCCGCCTTGGGATTACATGAATGCCCTAGCTCTCAGTCATAATTTAGCCCATGTGGACCTTGACCATCTCCCCAGCCCACGGGACATTGGGCTGATGTGACCTGGAGGGGAGGAAGTTGTAGGTTGCTTTAACAAAAACCATGCGTGGCAGGGTGAGAAGGAAACCCTGTGAAAACAGAGACTCCTGCTTTCTCCTGAAGCTCTCTCTGGGGTCCAACAAAGCTGGGCATGCCCACTCGGTGGTGGTAAAGGACCAGTCCTGTACCCCAAGTCATCCATGTGCAGCACTCTTTGGAGGAAACACAGACCTCATTTGCGTGTGTGCTTCCCCTGTGTCCAGGTACGCCAGCGGGTGGCCTGCTTTCCACAGGAGGCACAGCCAGTGATGATGCCCATGTGGTCCTTTTCCTGTGTGGGCTGAGCCACTCAGTTGTTGTGGCTCGGGGACCCAAGGGTCCTCTTGGGGTCTTGGCTGACCAAGGCACCCTCGGAGCCTGAGCCAAGCCATAGTGGAGGCCACAGTGCCCGTCGAGGGGAGCAGAGTTTGCCCTCTGTGGCCAGTACCTCTTCTCGCTTGGAGATACAGCGCTTGGCGTCCCCTGGGCCTGGGTGGAGACTGACCCTGTCCAGGGACATCAGGTGTAGTCTGACTTGGGTGTTGTTTGTCTGCTGAGTCCTGCAGGTGGAACGACTGGGCATTGTCTACTGTCAAGTGCACTGGATACTGAGCTCTAATAAGGTTCTTGGAACCTATGGCAGACAGGTAGCCTCTGCCCTAAGGGAGCTGGTGCTGCCCTGAGGCAGACATGGAGGGGAGGGTAGCCGCCGTGGCCCAGCCACAGGGACAGCCTGCCAAGCTCTTCCAGGCACCCCTGCGCTGTAGCCGATGCCCGATCAAGGTCAGCAGTGTGCCGTCCCGCCCTGCAGAAGGGAACCACAGCTCATGGGAGACCGATCAGTCACCTGACCATGGGCTGACTGCCTTTGGACACCTCCTTTCATAGAGAGGGTCTGGCTTTTCCCAGGGATGAAGGCAGGACATTTAGTGCAGAGGGAGGACAGGATCATTTAGGAGCACAGCTGGGAGATGCCACCGCAAGATTGCAGTGAAGTCCTATAGGATATGGCCCTGGTCCTTGATGCTCCCCCACTGGCACTATTTCCACTTCATGGGGGGCCACACCCCCCTATGGAGGTTAGAAGGGCCCCAGCATTCCTTCTCTCTTATTAGCTAAGCTACATTAGGGCCTCAGCCTAGGCTGGGCCAACTTGGTGTCCCACTCGGGACTTAGAACCTTGAACAAATTGTGCAAACATTCAGGGATATCTTCCAGCTGTGGTCTTAAATGATCCTGTTCCCCTCTCCTCGCTTACTGTCCTGTCTTCGTCCCTGGACCATGTGACTATGAGATGATGGGAAAGATGATTCTTGATCTGGACCTACTCCCTTCCACTAGCACTGCTTCCTCCAGCACCGGTGCTTTCCTTCCCAGCCTACCGCCTGCTCCTGCACGCACTGCTGTTTCTAGCCAAGGCATTGCCTTTACAGCCGCAGGACAGGGCAGTGGGGAGACACCATGGGATTCACTAGGGTTCCATGTACCCTGTCCCTCCACAGGACCCGCCCCTGCGGGATGGTGATCTGGCTTCTCAGGACCACTCGGGATTACGTAGGAGCTCAGCTAGGAGATGCCACCTCAAGACTGCAGCGAGGTCCTATAGCATATGGTCCTGGTCCCTGGTGAATGGTGCCGTTCCCCCAAACCAGAATCCACAGGCTGGGGGCCTAGGGGTGAGAGTGAGGGCAGCACTTATGGTTAGAACATTCACAAAAGGTTTGCCTCTGGGCCCGGTTAGCCCTTACTCTTCTGGTTGGGAGATTTGTTTTATTTATTATTATTTAGTTAGTTATGTGTATATATGTACACACACACACACACACACACACACACACACACATATATATCTTTTTTTGGGGTAAACTCTTGCTCTGTCACCCAGGCTGGAGTGCTGTGGCACAATCTCAGTTCACCACACCCTCCACCACCCGGGTTCAAGCGAGTCTCCTGCCTCAGCTTCCTGAGTAGCTGGGATTACAGGCCCCCATCACCATGCACAGCTAATTTTTGTGTACTTTATTTATTTATTTTTATTATTTATTTATTTATTTTTGAGATGAAGTTTTGCTCTTGTCGCCCAGGCCGGGGTTCAGTGGTGTAATCTCGGCTCACTGCAACCTCTGCCTCCCAGGTTCAAATGATTCTCCTGCCTCAGCCTGCTGAGTAGCTGGGATTACAGGCACTCGCCACCATGACTGGCTAATTTTTTTGTATTTTTAGTAGAGATGGGGTTGCACTATGTTGGCCAGGCTGGTTTCAAACTCCTGACTGCAAGAGATCCGCCTGCCTCGGCCTCCCAAAATGCTAGGATTACAGGCGTGAGCCACTGCCCCCGGCCTATTTGTCTGTATTTTGGGACAGGGTCTCACTCTGTCACTCAGGCTGGAGTGCAGTGCTATGATCATGGCTCACTGCAACCCGGACCTCCTGGGCTCAAGAGATCCTCCCACCTCAGCCCCCCGAGTAGCTGGGACCACAGGTGTGTGCCACCATGCCTGGCTAATATTTCCTTTTTGTTGTTGTAGAAACAAGCCCAGGCTGGTCTCAAACTCCTGGCTTCAAGCATCTCCTGCCTCAGCCTCCCAAAGTGTTGGCATTACAGGTGTGAGCCCACCACGCCTGGCCTGGTTTGGAGATTTTAGTAACTAACAGGGGAGTGCTTTGGTCAGAGAATAAATCATGGAATGATGGAGCTGAAAATTGTGGATGCCATGTGGGTTAAGGGGCCCTTGGGAACAGCTAGGGTGGTCCCTATAAGAGGAAGCAGAGACCTTACTACTGAACATGGGCAAGCTTGGGTGGCCCCCAGGTCTTCCCCCATTCTGCCAAATCGAGGGATGAAATCGGTGGACAATCACAGCAACAAGGTTCAGGACTCAGACCCTGCAGGAGTGAAGAATTGGGCTGCCTGGATGAGAAAACACGGGTGTGGAGTATGTGAGCCATGAACACACCCCACGGTTTCATGACCAGCTGCAGATGTGAGGCATCTAGAGCTTCTGGCAAAGTTTCTGTTTTCATTGTGCTGTCTAAACCTCACCAGAACGGAACTCACCTTTCTCCCCTCCTTTTCTTTCCGCGGTGACTGTGTATTGGACGTGTTGTTGGTGCTTCCTTTCACATTAAATCTATAGGTTGTAGAACAGCGACGTGCTGAGGACGGAAGCGGCGGGAACGCCCAACACCAGAGACCCTGGGCTGTCACCACATGTGGAACCCAGGAGACCTTTGGTGTCCTCCTTTGGAGGCCAGGCTGTGCGTTTTCAGTGGTGGGAGCGCTGCGTGTCAGGCGGAGGAGGCCAGGCCCGTGCGTTTTCGGCGGCGGGGGCGCTGCGTGTCAGGCGGAGGAGGCCAGGCTGTGCGTTTTCGGCGGCGGGAGCGCTGCGTGTCAGGCGGTGGAGGCCAGGCCCGTGCGTTTTCGGCGGCGGGGGCGCTGCGTGTCAGGCAGAGGAGGCCAGGCCCGTGCGTTTTCGGCGGCGGGGGCGCTGCGTGTCGGGTGGAAGTGTTCTCATTTTCGGAAGTGAGAGTGTCACTGGAAAGACAGGGTGGACTGTAGCTGGCCTGTGTCACTCTGGCTGCTCATCACAGGATCGCTCTTATTTGGGGGAGTCCCTCTTAGCTGGTGTTGGTGGGGGATGGGGCCACACACCCCCTATGGAAGTTAGAAGGGCCTTGACATTCCTTCTCTTTTGTCAGCTTCATTAGGGCCTTGGCCTAGGCTGGGCCAACCAACTTGGCTGGCATTCCACCCAGGACTTAGAATTTTAAGCAGATTGTGCACACATTTAGGGACCATTAGAGCTAATTCGTCATCGATGTGGTCTGAACGTCCAGTAAGAGTAGGTGTGGCAGGCAGAATATCTAAAATGTTCCCCGCTCCCCACTAAATGTCCTGCCTTAATCCCTGGACCATGTGGCTGTGAGATGACGGGAAAGCTGATAAGATTTATCTTTCAAGAATTCTGGCCGGGCGCGGTGGCTCAAGCCTGTAATCCCCGCACTTTGGGAGGCCGAGACGGGCAGATCACGAGGTCAGGAGATCGAGACCATCCTGGCTAACACGGTGAAACCCCGTCTCTACTAAAAAGTACAAAAACTAGCTTGGCGAGGTGGCGGGTGCCTGTAGTCCCAGCTACTCGGGAGGCTGAGGCAGGAGAATGGTGTAAACGCGGGAGGCGGAGCTTGCAGTGAGCTGAGATCCATCCACTGCACTCCAGCCTGGGCACAGAGTGAGACTCCGTCTCAAAAAAAAAAAAAAAAAAAAAGAATTCTGACATAAGCTACAACGCGGATGGACCTTATGGACATAACAGTAAGTGAAATAAACCAGACACAAAAGGACAAATCCTGTGTGACCCCACACAAATGAGGTCCCTGGAGCAGCTGAATCCATGGAGACAAAAAGTGGATGGTGGGTGCCAGGGACCAGGGCATAGAATGGGAGCTGGTGTTTACTGGGGACAGAGGTTCATCTTGAGAAGATGGAAAGTTCTGGAGACAGATGGTGGTGTGTTTGCACAGCGATGTGAATGTATGTAATGCCACAAACCATACACTTAAAAATGGTTACGATGGTACATTTTATGTGATGTATATTTGACCACAATTTGCTGAATGCACCATTGCTGGTTTGAAGGTGGAGGGGCCATGGGAGCAGGGACAAGGACGTGGGAACCTCAGTCCTACAGCCATGAGGAGCTGACTTGTCAACAGCCTGAATGGTCCTGGAGGCAGACGCTTCTCTGGAGCCTCCAGATGACAGTGCAGCCCACCAAGGCCTGACGTCAGCCCGAGAGACCCCTCGCAGGGCACCCGCTGAGCCCACCGGGACTTCTGCCCTGGAGAGCTGAGAGATCATAAATGGTCACTGCTTGCAGTCCTTACATCTGTGCTGCTTTTTATGCAGCATAGAAAACCGTTGCAGCTTGTGTCTGGGTGGAGCCCTCCAGGGCGTGGACCACCGGTGTCTGCAAGTCAGCCCTGGGCTGCTGCCTCCAGCGTGGCTTCCTTTGTGCTTGCACCTGGCCTGTTCCCATGGAGGGATTTGGTGAGCTACCCCTACCCTTGCGTCTGTTCCCAGTGGAGCCTGGCTCTCTGGCTGGTCCTTCACTCCCTCCTCTCCTCACAACTCGGTCCCTCCCCTCAGGGATCCCATGAGGGCTGACAGCAGGGGCGTCTTCACCTCTGTGGGCAGGCAGGTGGCGGGAGAGGGGCCCAGGTGCAGCATCGTTGTCCTGCAGCCACCGAAGACTACCTGAGTATCTTCTTGGACCAATAGCATCTGCTTCGGAGCAGAGACAACGTGCGGGTCCACCCTGGGAGCGTCTGAAGAGGCTGGGCTCCTGGGGCTGGTGGCCACATGCTCTGAGGAGCAAGGGGATCATGAGGCTGTGGTGGAATGTTCTACAGGGTACCTGGGAGGCTACTGTGGAATGTTCTAGAGGGGATCATGGGGCTGTGGTGGAATGTTCTACAGGGGACCTGTGGGGCTATTGTGGAATGTTCTAGAGGGGATCATGGGGCTGTGGGGGAATGTTCTACAGGGGACCTGTGAGGCTACTGTGGAATGTTCTAGAGGGGATCACAGGGTTGCAGAATGTTCTAGAGGGATTATGGAGCTGCTGTGGAATGTTCTAGGGGGACTGTGAGGCTGTTGTAGAATGCAGAGGACCCAGGGATGGGGGCTTGGATGGCCAAGAAGAGCAAGTGGGTGGGTTAATGGGCATGGCAGGCAGAGACAGGCCAGCTCCGTGGGGGCAGGAAGAGCTGCCTGGCTGCGGGTTGGACCCTCCCTGTCGCCTAAGCATGAGGAGCTCTGGGGTATTCAAGCACAGAGATCCTGGCCTGGGGCTGTAATCTGGGGGCCCAGAAGCATCCATCTCCAGGTCTTGGCAAGGCCTGGTGCAAGCAAAGGGGGGTCCCCATGTGGACTATGGGGTGCAGTGCATCGGGTCTGGAAACTCTCCAGGTCTCCCACCCCACCCTGGCACTCAGTCACCCCCAAAGCGTTTCCTCTACAGCATCAGCCTGCGGCTTGGTCCGGGGCTCCCTCCCGGTGGCTGGCAGAGCAGATGTGTCTCGAGTGGAGCTGGAGGACCTTCCAGAGAGGGTGGGGGCAGCAGGGGGCTGGCAGAGCAGATGCGTCTCGAGCGGAGCTGAAGGACCTTCCAGAGAGGGTGGGGGCAGCAGGGGAGGACCTTCCAGAGAGGGTGGGGGCAGCAGGGGGCCCTACCGTGGGGCCAGGGTGTATCTGCCCTTGCGATCCAAGCTGCAGCCAGAGCGGACGGCAAACCACAGGAAGGAGCTGAGGAGCAAGGCGGACACCTGGGAGGGAGACACCCGGGGCTGCCCCGCTGCTCCAGAGTGGGGGCGCCCCTCCCCAGAAAGCCTCAGGACTCTGCAGTGGGAGGGGGCGGCCCATCTGCAGGAGGCAAACACTGTCACAGCGGACCAGCTCCCTGAGGTTGGCAACCAGTGAGGCCCAAGACCAGAGATCCTGTTCCGGGTCACCATTCCATCTGAGTGGGGGGCTGGGCAGGCTGAGGGGCAGGAGGTGGGAAGGGGCGGTGAGGGAGGCAAGGGGGTACCGTGAGGGCCAGGCCGATGCTGGTCAGGCTGGAGGTGACCTGCTGGTGTATCCTCAGGATGCTCCGGATGCCCTGAAGGCAGTCCTGCGAGAGGGCAGCAGGCATGGCACCCGCCCTGACCGGCCCTCCCTGCCTGGACAAGCAGCTTCTGTGGGGCCATGGAGCTGCAGCGCCCACCTAGGTCAATGCCAGGGCAGCAGGGAGGTGGGTGTAGCACATTCCTGGGAAGCCCCCAGGGCTCTAGGGAAAGGCAGCACAAGCAGGTGAAGCCCAATGGGACAGGGCTGGCCCCTGTGGGCACCCGGGCACTGCTCTGGGCCCAGCAGGTACCATCTCCCAGCTGTCCTGAGTGTCCATCTTGGGCCACACGTTAGCTCCCCTAGGCCGGGCCACTTCTAATTCACTCTGGGTTACCAGCATCCAGCCTAGGGCCGGGCACAGCACCTTGGTGACCAGAGGACGATGACTAACAGGGAGGGCAGGAAGCCAGCAGGTGGAGGGATGCGAGGGGGGTCCCCGCAGTGTCCCAGGGTCCTGCTTCCATCCCGGACTTTCAGTGCCACCCCAGGGCATGGCACCCAGAGGCATCTTTCCAGAAAAGGGAGGTGACAGGCCTGTCTCTGAACCCTGGAGATGGTGGCAACTGGGGCAGGCTGTGAAGGCCTCTGCAGGGTGTCAGGGCTCACCCTCCTGCCCCCCGCAGGCAGGTCTGCCTCCCTCCTGCCCACGCCTGCCCATCTGGGTGGCTCCATGCCCACCACCTGTGCTGGCTTTTCTGGCTCCCCAGGAGGCTTTGCAGTCGGGCCCATGGCCCTGCCATCCCAAGGGTGCTCAAGGCAGGCCCTCGCTCCTGTGTTTCAGTCGGGGGACCTGGGACCTCTCCTTGGGTGGCACAGGGATCCTGACTGTTAGCCCTGCCCTTGATGCCGCTGGTGCCTCCCCAGCAGCGTCCCCAGCACTGGCCCTTCTGCCCTCAGAGCCTGGGCTGTGGCTCCACCCCTCGCCAGGCCTCCAGCCATTTGCTCTCTTCCCCTCTGTTTCTTGGAGGGTCGCCAGGTGCCTTCCACTGTGAGATAGGGTGGGTTTGTTTCCAGGACAGTAGGGGAGAGGAGCAGGGAGGGGGCACGGTGGACTGGGGGAGGGCTGCTGGGCACCAGGAGAAAGGGGAGGGCCCAGCTTGTCCCAGGGCTCTGGGAGGAAAGGCTTCTTGGCCTCGGGCCCCGCTCTGTTGTTGCTGAAGCCCTGGCCACACCCCAGCCTACACTGATCCTCCAGCCTCGCTTCTCCTCCTCTGAGTGCCCTTCCACTCCTTCTGATGCCCCCCAGGACGCCTGCACCCTTCCCCCTAGATAGAGCCCACCATGCTGGCTTTGCAGCCCTTGGCACAGAGCCCTCATGGATGCACTCCAAGAGGCTTCTGTGGACTCAGCTGGCCTTGGGAAGCCCCGAAACTGGAATTGACTTGAAGGAGTGAACGGCGCATCAGGCCTGTGTCCAGCTGGGCAAAGGGGCCTGTATCTATGTCTTGAGCCTAGCCCGGCCACCTGACAGGCTTGGTGTACCATGAACCCTAACTAGCCTCCGATCACACCAGAACCTTCCCTGAGCCCTTCAGCGGGCAGGTCCCAAGGCTCTGGGGAGGCCAAGGGTTGGGGTGGGAGGATGGCTATGGGTCTCGGGGTTGGGCCCTAGGGTGTCCAGCCCCTGAGGGTCTTGCCTGGCCAGCCTCCAGGTCCCCTCCTCACCTCTCTTGCCGCCTCCTGTCCCTGACACAGGTCAGCCTCTGTGCTCCCCAGACGGCTGAAAGGAGACCTCTTCCCACAGCACAGAAACTACAAGAACAGAAGGGAGGGAGTGGTGATGTGCTTCCGAGACCCCAGGAGGCGGGCAGCACATATGGGGAAACTGAGGCACCACAAAGCTCCAGGTGGGGTTCCCTGCAGGCCAGGGCTGGGGCTCCGGGTATTGCAGCTGCTTCTGCTGGGGGCTCCAGCCATCGTGCAGCCGGGCCCTGGTGAGGGGAGCTTTAAGTCTCGCTGCCTGCCTGCTGGGGAGGGAACTCCTGCTGGGGCCAGGCAGCTTCCCCGCCCTGCTCACGGGCCGTGCGTGCTTTTTTTTTAAGTAGAGACAAGGTTTCCCTATGTTGCTCAGGCTGGTCTTGGAACTCCTGGGCTCAAGCAATTCAGCTGCCTCAACCTCCTCGCAAAGTGCTGGGATTACAGGCGTGAGCCACTATGTTTGGCCCCGTATTTGCTTTAATGCTCTTGAAATCCTCAGTGTTTCTGAATAAGGGGCCCTGCCCTCCCATTTTGCACTGGGCCTCGAGAATCTGGTAGGCGGCCCTGTCCCGGGCAGACAGAGGATGGGAGCTTTGTGCCGTCAGCCCTGAGGGGCAGCTCTGGCCTACGTCCTGGAACCTCTTGGTGCCTGGCCAGACCTCTCACTGGCCACCCTGTGCCTGTTCTCTGAACTGCAGTCCAAACAGAGGCTGACTGCCCTGCCACCCAGCCGTCCCCACGCTCACTGTGTCCTGGATGGCCGCCAGCTCCTGCCGCCGGACGTGGGACGTGCCTTTCATCGCCTGCTCATATACCAGGTCGTAGGTGTCCAGCATGGCATCCTCCACCTACACCGAGAGACCACGGGGAGGTCCTGGCCCTGGTGAGAGATCCAGGGACACAGCCCCCTCCCCACAACATCCCAAAGGCTGGTGGGCCCTTAGTGGAGTGACGTCCCAGCACCGCCCTCCTCGCAGCAGGTGGATCTCCCCAAGGGGTAGCCTGGGTCCCTGGGCAGCCAGTCACAGTGCTTCCCAACATCAACAGTGGGGCCTCCACACAATGGCCGTCAGTGTGGCCCTCCTGCCCCCAGAGGGTCCTGCAGGATAAATCGAGGCCAAGCTCTGCATCTGCCTCTCCTGTGGTCTTGCAAGGTCGGCCCAGGGAAGTTTCCATCACGCTACTGTTGACCTGGAAATGGTGGATGGGGCTGGGCCTGGTGGAAAAGGCTTGAGAGACCCTGTGCCAGGACCTCAGCTCCCAAAAAGCTGGGGGATTCTAGGTCTTTCCCCAGAATCACCCAGCTGCCCTCCGGAAGCCCGGGCAGCTGGGCTCTGGGTAAGGCTTTTGACCAGAGAAGGCTTGGGCACCTGGAGTCAGATCTGGGTGGACGAGGCCACTGTGAGGCAGGGGGTGGAGAAGGTGGAAGGTGATGGGGCCTGGCTGGATGTGCTGTCTGCACTCCACACCCTAACACCACCTGGACCTCATGTCTCCACCCTCCTAAGCAAGGTGCTGTCCCCTGCCAAGTTATCCCTTCAAAGACAAACTGGAATCTCGCCTCCTACCGGAAGGCTTCTGTGACTGCTCCAGGAGTTGCTGGTCTCCTGGCACAGGGCGAGGCCCTCTTTGAGGTCCCTACCCTCTGATGTCTCCTTCCTGCCTCAGAGGCCCTCAGTTCTCCCCCAGATGCCATGCTGACAGTCGGGACACATGGAAGGGTGCTCAGCAGTTGCCCCAAAGGGCTGGGGGAGAACGGAAGCCCCAGGCCTGCTCTGGCCGCTCACACCTGCCCTCCAGAAAGGAAGCGTGGCTTCCCGCGGTTCTCATTGCACTGCGGCCCAGCCCCCGTGGCAGCCCTGACAGCGGCCAACTGGGTGGGCAGTGGGCAGTGGAGGCTCTCGGTCAGCCCTGCCCAAGCCTGGAGGCCCCAACGGGAGCCAGATGGACTTTCCAGGCCAAACTTGGCTCCTGACCCTAATGCATCCCTCCCACTGATGGCTAATAAAAGTCAGACCACTCTCCATGAGTCATCCCCAACTCAGCCAGCCTTGTCCTCCCCGCAGTGCCCTGGGAGGCAGGCGCCAAGCTGGCCACACCACTGTCGGCCTGGGCGGGGGTCTTGTTCAGCCTCAACATCTGTGAGTGTGAAATGGGGGTGGAGTCTGGCCTGGCCATTGTGTCCTCATGGGTGGAGGTCCTGGTGAGGACTGGAGGCCTGGTGGAGTGGGCCTGGGGTTGGCTCAGACCTCCTCTCCTGCTTCCCTCCCAACTCCAATGACTCCCCATTGTCAGGCGCCTGCCATGGCCCAGGGAGGACACGGGTGCCTCTGAGGCTCTGAGCTAGGTGTCGCTATTACCGCAGCAGGGCGAGAGTGACAACGCCTGCTAGTGGCTGAGGGGCCTGCTCTGCCCGGCTCTTCCCGCTCTGCCTGCTCTTCCCGCTCTGCCTGCTCTGCCCGCTATGCCGGCTCTGCCGGTTATGCCTGCTCTGCCTGCTCTACCTGCTCTACCTGCTCTGCCTGGCTCTGCCTGCTCTCCCTGCTCTGCCTGCTCTCCCTGCTCTACCTGGCTCTGCCAAGCAGCTCTCCCCATGACTGAGGAAGCAGAGCTCAGCAAGGTAGGCCTCCTGCCCCAAAGCCTGGCCCTGGAGGGCTCTGGAGGCCAGGCCGGCCGCTCCCCACGGGGCCTGGGCTCCTAGGTGATGCTTCACCATCTGTCTCCATCCCAGGCTCTGGGGGCTCTGAAGGAGCCTGGGGCCTGTGTTTCTCAGGACACCTGGGGGCAGGTGCACCCTGAAGGGTACCAATGCACTGAGCTCCATCTTCCGGTGCCCGGGGGGTGCTTCAGGACAAAGACCTGGAGCAGCAGGGCCAGCGCAGAATTCCCGGTTGCTGGACCCAGAGGCCCAGGGGGAAGCCCCAGTTCCTTGCCTGGGGTCAGGCAAGGCCCTGAGAACTGACCCCTGAAGGCCAGCTGGGCGCATGGGCCAGACAAAGATGATGTGTGTGGGGGATGCTACCTGGGGCCGGGACAGGCCATAGGCAAGCCCGGCTAGGGCGTCTATCTTTTTGCACCCCCTTCCCTTCCTGGAGAGCAGGCCCCAGCTATGTTCTGTCCTGTAGCCCCTGCATGGCCCCCTCCCCTCCAGAATTCTGCTTCCAGTGTCAGAGCCATAAACACACAGAAGCATGGGGCATGGGCTGCAGCTGCCCCAGACGAGCCCAGGCACCCTGACAGCTGTCTTGACCTCGGCCACCTCCACTGTGACCCAGACCTCAAACAAGCCTAGACCACTCCACAATGGACAGGAAACGTGAGGCCGAAACCATGGACCTGGCCCAGCTCATCACCCTGGTAAGACTACTGTGCCAATCCTCAAAGCCACAGCCCTCTTTAGGGGGCTCAGTCCCTCTGGGACCCTTCTGGGCCTGAGAAAATGATGTTTCTCCCACCTGGTTCAGGCGGTTCATCCCAAATGATGCCAGGGGTGGGCAGGCACTTTGGGGCCAAGAGCCTTTGTGGTAAGCCTGGAGCCCCCTCCAGCCCTGGCACTGCCAGGGTAACTTTGAGCTCCCCCCATCCCTGGAGGGCCTGAGTTCCCCCATCTGCAAACCACGGTGGGGGCCACCACACTCAGGCTGCCAGCACGGCTCAAGAACTGGCACAGCAGGCGCCCTGCAGAGCTCAGCCAGAGGACCTGCCTGCCACTAGCCTCAGCATCTATCATGGCCAAGCCTGTTTGGGGGCCCTGGGCAACCAGACACTTGAATACACGAGGCCACTAGGACTCCAGCTAGGGCTCCAAGAAATCACCTCTTGTGACCTGCCAGGCTCTCCTGTCCCACTCGATGACCCTGCCTGCAGCTGTCCCTGGCACTACCTGGCTGCCCTGGGCTCTCAAGGGGAAGGTGGGGCTGGCTGTGTTACCGAGCTCTCATTCTCTGCTGGGCCAGGGAGGCCTCCTTCCTCTCCAAGCTGCTGGCCTTTCCACGGGGACACCCTTGGCCCCTGCCCAGGGTCAGCTAGGCCAGCTCCTCCTCCAGGCAGGTCAGCAGCCAGGATGGAAGGATGGGTGATGTCCTGTGGAGGGGGTGGAGGCTGCGACACCCCAGCCCGTGGGTCTCCAGGCACTGTCTGCCCCACCAGGCCTCCATCAGGAGCGGGGGCCCTCAGGTCTCATGTTCTGGAACACTCTGCTCCTTCCAGTCAACCCCTAAGGCCAAGCCAGTGGCTTTCCTTCTTCTTCCTCCTCGATCCCTCCCCCAAACCTGAGGGGCATCAGCTCAGGAGGGGGTGGGCTGAGGGGCTTCAAGAAAATGAGGCTGGGGCGAAGGCATGGGTACAGCATAGGTCTCTCCCTACCAGGGAGCTGCTGGCCCTCACTCACCTCCAGCGCTTGGCCTCCCTGCAGCCTCAGACAGAGGGAACCCAGGCTGCGGTCTCCCCCACCCTACCCGGTCAGTGCAAGCCTGGAAGCTGGGGCTGCCCCTCCCAGGACTGCTCCCCAGTCCCCAGGCGCCCACTGGCTTGCTGGGGGACCCTCTGCTGCAGGGTAGGGGCAGCTGGTGCTCACCTGGGTGGGGCTGTGGAGTCTCCAGAACATCACCTGCACCTGTGCACAGAACGCCAGGGAGAAGCACAGGAAGCCCTGGGGGCAGAGCGGGGCTGGTCACTGTGGGGGGCCGGTCACTGTGGTGGGCTGGTCATTGTGGGGGGGCCGGTCACTGTGGGGGGGCCTGTCGCTATGGGGGGTGGCAGTCACTGCGAGGGGTGGCCGGTCACTCTTGGGAGGGCAGTGACTGTGGGGGGGGCCTGTACTGTGGGGGGGCTGGTCACTGTGGGGTGCCGGTCACTGTGGGGGGTGGCCTGTCACTGTGGGGGGCCGGTCACTGCAGTGGCCTGGCCAATCACTGAGGGGCCTGGTAGGGCCTGGCAGGCCTGGGCAGGGCAGTGCCCTTAGGCTGTGCCCCCAGCGGGATGCTTGGTTGAGGCATGGATCTGAGCCCTGCTCCCCACTGCCTGAGAGGGAGACTTGGCCTGGGGAGAGCATGGGCGCTGGGTCCGTGGGTTCCATAGCACCTTCCCATCCCCTTCCTCGGCGCTTTTTGGGAATTCGTCCCTTGTTCTCCCATTTTGGCCCCCAGGGGCCTGTTGATGGCAGCACCGCACCCCTGCCCAGGAAGGGTAGGGCGCCCCTGAGAAGATGGAGACCTCTGCCCACTGGAGCTGCTTGCTGAGGGGCATGGACCTGGACAGGGCCGGGCAGAGCCTCCCCTGAGCCTGAGCCTGCTGTAGGCTCTTCTGTTTTGCCTTCTTTTCTGAAACAAGCCACCAGCTAGCCCAGCGCTGGTGAGGTTTGGGACAGATATGGCGCCTGCTCAGGATGCTGTGGCCTCTCTCTTTGCAGGTGAGCCTACCTCCCTCACCTCCCTTTCTCTCCATACTCTGCCTGGGTCCCCATGGCCTGGCCAACCACTGTCCCCTCTCTCTCACTGGTGCCAGTGCCCCTAGTTGTGGAGTGGGGCGTTCTCCGGCGGAAACGTCTGCTCACCAGCCCCTGGCACTTGCCCCCATTGTTCTTTTGGTCAGGGCTTCCAGGCTTTTGAGAGCCGCTTTGTAGAAGCTGGGGAACATGAGAGACCCCCCTGAGAGCAGACAGATGCTCCCGACATGGTTTTATGGATGGCGGCAGAGGTCACCCAGGCTAAGAACCCTGGGGATGTCCTCCCACTCAGGGTCTGGGCGACTGCCTTTGCCTTCGTGCTGGTGCCCTGAGCCTGGGGATGTCCCCCAACTCGGGGTCTGGGCGGCTGCCTTTGCCTTCATGCTGGTGCCCTGAGGACCCGGAGTACCTGATGGTGAGTCTAGCCGCCGACCAGGCAGCTCCCCCAGGAGTCCTGAGGCCCTGGTGAAATGCCAGCCCCCACAGGCAGCACTGTGCCCGGCTGGGTGGTCCACAGGCTGAGGCAGGTTGGGTCTGGGCCCTTCCAACCCTGGGGACCCATTCAGGGTGACGCCAGGAGCATGAGTGTCCGTGAAATAGACAGAGACCCACTCATGCTGGCAGGCGGGCAGCAACAATGCCAGCATGCCAGGGGAAGCTGGTCAAGAGGGGCATGGAAAGAGCTGGGGAGCCCTGCTGGCCCCCAAACACAGGCGAGAGCATGGGGCCTCCAGCCCTGCAGGGATGGGGCACTGGCGGCTCCCCATGACCCTCCTGCCTGCCCTGGAGGCTGCAAGGCCTGATGGGCGATGGCCTGGGAGCTGCCTCCTCCTCCTCTCTTTTCTCCTCCTTCCTCTTCCTCCTCCTCCCTCCACCCTCCTCCTCTTTCTTCTCTTCACCTTTCCTCTTTTCTCTTTCCTCCTCCTTCCCCCTCCTCCATCTCCTCATCCCTTGTCCTCCCTCTTCCTCCTTCTTCTTCCCTTCTCCCCTCCCTCCTTCTCCTCCCCCTCCATCCCCCTCCTCCCCCTCCCTCTCCCTCCCCACTCCCTCTCCCTTCTCCCTTTTCCCTCCTTTTCCTCCCCTTCCCTCTCCCTCTTTCTCCCTCCTTCTCCTCTTCCCTCCTCCTTCTTTGTCCTCCTTCTCCTCCTTCTTGCTGGCTGAGGGCCACCGTCCCCATCTGGAAGCTATCACTCAGTGGTGCCTCCCAGGCTTGAGGCCCTGAGCCAGCTCAGGAGACCAGCATTTTCCAGAAACCTTTTCATTCCTCAGGAGAAACAGCGTCCACGGCCTCTCTCTCTCTTTCTCTCCCCCTACAAACCCCCTGCACAGAGAGGATCTTGGGCAGTGGATGGGCCATGCAGACCTCCCCAAGGCCTTCACCATCAGAGGCCGCTGGGTGGTCACGTCTGCCCTGGCCATTGTCTTTCTCCTCATTCTAGATGGAAATAAATACATACATACATAAGCGAATTGAATGTGCTTCCTTGGGCAGCGCTGCCAGCTCTGCTCTCTCAGCCCAGCAAGCTCTTTCATTTCCTGTGCGAGAGGCCAGCTAGGGGAGAGGCCGGAGGGGTGGGGGCAGGCAGGAAAGGGCCTTGTGGGGAGCCTCCAGGCACCCAGCCCATTGGAAAAAATCTTTCCACTCCCTGCTCCCTATCCCTAGCCCCTTCACCTGGGCTCATGCATGCAGACACACACACAGATGTGCCAGATGCAACACGCAGACAACACACCCATATGGCAACAGGGGCAGGTGAAGACCGGTAACAGATACTTGCACACACGCACACGCAGAGGCACCTGCACATGCACACACACACTCATGCACATGCACACACAGACACTCATACACACACACGCACATGCACACACATGTATATTTGCACATGCATGCACATAAGTTCACCTTCATGCACACACATGCATGCAGCTCAACTGGGTAGATCTCCCAGCTCCCTGCTGTGGCCATGCTGAGCTCACCATCCAGGCCAGGTCTAAGTACACTGGGGCTTGGGGGTTGCGCTGGAGACCACCCAGCTTGGACTGGAGTGTCCTCAGGACCCCAGCCCAGTGCAGGCATCCAGCTGGGGACCTCCCAGGCTGCTCTACAAGCCTGAACCGTGTATCAAGTCACCCTGGCCTTGAGGCTGGCTGGGGACACAGAACCCGAGCCCAGGTGCTCGCTGACCGCCTTGGCCACAGATCAGGGTGCTAGGCTGGTTTGTGCATGGGGGCAAGGTGGGGTGGGAAAGGCTGGTGACCGGGGCAGGACCCCGTGGCCCAGCTGGCTTCTGCATATGTGGCCTCAAGCCCAGCACCATGGCGCCCCCTGGTGGATGGTGCTGCAGCCCCAGCGCCGGTTCTTTCTGGGCCTCCAGCTCAGACCTGGACCCCTTGGCCTGGCCCTGTTGCCAGCCTTTCCTTCCATCCAGGTGTCCCTTTGCAGGCCACACACCCTCTTGAGGGGCAGACTCCTTGCCTTGTCATCTCCCCATTGGGGCCTCCCACCTGGCCCTGAAGCCAGATAGCACAGGCTGGGGTTGTGCCTGCCCACGCTCCTGTGCCCCAGAGCAGGAATCCTGGCTAGTGCTGGAGTTGCTGGGTCCTTCTCTGCTCCCCATGGGCCCACCCAGGGCTGGTTGGCCCCGCAGCAGCTCCAGGAGGTGACTCTATTCCTATCCTTGGAGACATTTATAAACCAGGGTCATTAAACAAGCATTTGCTGAATTTGAAGGCTGAGCTGAGAACCCTGCCAGCCCTGGGGACCCAGGAGGCTGTGCCCTCAGGGACTTCCAGAGTGGTCCAGCATCACAGGCCAGACAGGGGAGCAAAGCCCCCAGCACAAGCTCCTCACGGCTGGAATGGGGAGACAGGAGGCTAGAGGGACAGGTGGGACCCCAGGGCACCAGGGAGGAGCTGCCTTAGCTGTGGTGAGAGAGAAGGGCTGTGGGCCTGGCAGGGGCAGGACAGGCGTGGGGAGGCTGCTGCCAGGTGGGGTCTGCGATGACCTTCGAGGGCTGGCAAGGACCAAGACAGAAGCCCACGGGGAGGAGTAGGAATGGGGGCAACAAGGGGCCACTGCTATGGGGTGGGGTGGAGGGGCCTATGGGGCCTCGGGGCTGGGGAGACACTCCTAGCAGCTCAGGAGAACCCAGGCTGGAGAGCTCGAGAGCCATTTCCCTTGCCCGGCCTGGCCTCCTCCGAATAGGAAATGGGATGCTCCCAGTGCCCTCCCAGAGCTTGCTGGGCAATCGAACCAGACCCTTCCAGGGACTTTGGAAACGGCTCCCAGGGTGAGGAGCACCATCTCTCTCTTTCAGGGCTCCTATAGGAACCCTTGCTGGGCGTGTGGATGACAAGGTGAGGTGTAGGGCCTGGTGGAGGAGCCTTGGCTACCCAGGTGGGGGGTCTCGGCTGGTCAGCATCCCTGGAGCCTCTGTTTCTGCCTAGTCACTCAGGTGTGGGGGTGGCGCCCAGGCCTGCCAGCTCTTCACTCCTTCCTGATTCTTTTCTGGGGACATGGGCATCTGGGAACACAATGAACTCACCCCCGCCATGAGGCCCTGGGCCTCCCTCACGGTGCCTGCAGCGCTCAGCACGGCTCCCAGAGTCAGGAGGCCCACCAGGCTCAACCCCGCAGAGAAGGCTGGTTGGGAGGAGAGAGGAGGAGGGTTGGGATGCCCAGGACAGGTCCTGAGTGCACACGACCTGGGTCTGAAATCTAACTTCGGAGTCAGGGGCTGTGCGGGACTTCTGGGGGGCTCTGAGTGGGCGCCGTCTCTCCACCAGACAGGGCCCTGAGGGAAGGAGGGAGGCGGGACTCCTTCAGCCTGGGGAACTGCCCCTCCTTCCCTCTTTTCCTCCCTGCCCTCCCTGCCTGGGGGGGCTATCTTAGAAGCCACATGCTCCCTGCCATGCCCTAGTGACAAGTCGCTGGACTGGAGCTGTAATCTTATCAGTCCGGACCTGGACCTGGGCCCCAGGCGTCCTCCTCCAGGGAGGCCCTGGTCCTAAGACTTGGGGAAAAGCAGTGGGTTCTAAGGCAGCGTTTTCCCCGTATCTGCCCACCGGGCTGCAGCCCTCCTGGGCCCCCGAGCTCCTGCCTGAGCCCCCTGCAGGTCTGGTTCCGGCATCCCCTCATGAAAGGGGCCTTCCTCCGCCTTACCCCCAAGTGGCCCCAGCAGACCCTGGCTCTCGCTCCCGCTCTCTGGATGTTGGATAAGTCGCTGCTGAGTCTCTGCAGGGAGGCGTCTGGCTAGAGCAGCCCCACCCCTCCCCTCCCGTGTCCCAGGTCCTGAGTGGAACATCAGCCATGTGGAGCCCTCATGGACCTGCTGAACCCGGCCCCAGGCCACTCCCAGGTGGCGCCTGCCTGGGATTCAGCCCTGACTGCACAGAGCCAGGTCCCGACCCTGCCCAACATATACCCACACTGTGCCCACGCTCCTGTGGGGCACGAGAGTCAGGCAGGAACACCGGCTGTCACCCAGACCCGAGGCTCTGTCCAGGGGAGCTAGGACTCCAGGGCAGCCCCTCCCTGCCCCTGACCACCTCTGGCTCCTGCCCAGGGCCTGGCACCACTCCGACAGTGAGACGTCCAGCTGGGCTCGGCTCCTACCAGCCACCCTTGCACCCAAAGCCCCTCCCAATGCAGCCAGGCCTGGCTCTCGCTTACCCCATTGGTGCACAGCCTGGTACGGGTTCTTCTCCAGGGACGCTCGGCGAATGACAGCAAAGTGGGCCCCGAAGTAGGTGAGAGTCACCATGGTGGCCACAGAGAGGCCCAGCAGCTGTGGATAGGACAGACTCAGAGTGTGGGACACGGGACTGCCGCAGGATGGGGCAGCTTGGCCCCAGGGGACAGGGCTAGGGCTCTCTCCAGCTTCCTGGTCCCGTGACAGACAGGCTCAGCTGCAGGGATTCCCAGTGTTTCTGTGGAGTGGTCTCAGGGGGCCTTCACTGCAGACACCCGGCACACTCACAGGCACTCACACATGGTAGACGCATACACACACGGCCCAGCTTCCCCAGACACCCAGGACCTCTGATCATGCTGGCTACGGAGTAGGATGAGCCCCACCCCTGTGCCAGCGCCCTCCTGGGCAAGAAGGGGAGACGATCCCTGGAGCCTGGCAACCAGTGCCCTCCACCCCAGCTTGCCCCAGGCCTCGGCCCCACTCAGGCCTCCTCCGGGCTCTGTGCTGCCTGCCCCTCAGGAGGAGAGACGGGGCTGCCCATGGCGGTCACTGCCTGTGACTGTCTGCCACCAGGAGCCCCAGACACATGTCTACAAGGGCAGGACAGGGACAGTAGGGCTGTTGTGTGTGTGAGAAGAGGGGTAATCCCCATGCTGAGGCCCTGCCTCCCCTCACCCCTTCTCACCCCCACCCACCACCCACTCCTGCCCGACCTGCCTGTTACCAAGATAAAGAAGCAAGTGACCAGCATCTGGCATTTGGCAACCCTGACTCGACTCCAAGGCCCCATGACGGCTCCTCTCCTCTCTTCTCCTCTTCTCCCCTCCCCTCCCTTCCCCTCCCTGTGGTTTCCAGCTGGGCAGGGGCCTCAGACCGCAGCTCCCTGCCCAAGAGGTAGGTTGCATCCGCCTCTCTGTCTGTCTGTCAACATCACCCTGGGACCGAGCTGCTGGGTGCCCCGGAAGAAGGGCAGGCAGGAAGGGGAGGGGCAGTGAGATTGGCTTCCCGCCTCAACCTCACCCTGGTGCCCCCAGCCCAGCCCAAGACACCAGGGCATTTGCCAACATCTGAGGCCCTTCTTGGTGTGGCCACTGAGGATGGTGCTGAGAGGGGAAGGTCATGGGCAGGGCTGGGTGTGGGATGCAGAGGAAACAGTGCCTGGGGAAGAGGAGGTGAGCTGCCCGTCCTGGGAGTGTGCAAGTGTGGACTGGGCCTTGGGGGCGTAATCCTTGGAGGAATTTGGAGATCCTTGGAACATCGTTATTGAGGTGTTCTTAGGAAACACCCTTTGCAATGTCCTGTGACAGCTTACGTTTTGAGAAAGTCGTTGGTTTTTAACCCTTCATGGGCGGCACTAATGGGTATTTTGTTGCAGAGCCTTCTTGGGGCCACGGGGGTAGGCTGGGGCCTCACGCACACCCACATGGGGCCTCCAGGGGGAGGTGTAATTTGTAATTACACAAAGCCGTGTCATTACCCATGGGTGGGGGCAGCGCTGCTGCCCCAATACAGGCAGGGTTTCCGTGGGCCTGAAGAGTGTGAAGATGCTCCAGGTGAGTCCACCGTTCAGGGACCACTCCAGGCCCTCCCAGGGGCGCTCTGCTCGCCCCTCGGTGCTGGAATTGCTCCTCCTACATTTGGTCAGCACCACAGCGAGGGGGAGGGGACCCCCGAGACCTGCAGGCATGGCAACCCCAGCGTGGCTGTGGGAAGAGGGCCCAGCTGCTGCCCACTCAGGAGTGCTGCTGGAGGAACTGCTCAGGCCACCTCCTCCCTCCCTCTTCGGAGAAGCAGGGACAACCAGGACCCCTGTCCAGCCCAGCTCCCCCCGGCAGCACCTTCTGCAACCCTGGCCCCCAGGAATTCCCACCCTGAGTCTGTGGGGGCTTGTGGAGACCTCAGATGCCTGGTACCCACAGTGTCACTTCAGCTGGAGGCCTAGGTGTGGCTCAGGCTGGGGCACAGGTATGGATCTAGGGGTGGCAGCAAGAGTGAAGGTACCAGGTCTAGAGGCTGGAGGCCCCCGGGCTGTGCAAGTGGCCAGCTTGTCCTCTCCAGGGAAGATGAACTGCTCTTGGCTATGTCCGGCTCATCCCTGGAATTCTTTCTCCAACCTTGACCTCCCTGGAGCTGGTGAGGCAGGCCTGGAACACCACCCGCTTATGGGGTGCCTCTTCGCCAGGTCTGAAGAATTGGAGCAGGGCAAGCCTGGGTTCTTGACCTGTCCTGGTGGGCACCTTCTCACACCAGCGCTGTGCCCAGGTGGCCTCACTTGTCATCTCAAAGTGGCGTCAAACTCCCGGACAGGTGGACGGGAACCCTAGGCTGGCCCTCCAGAGACCAGGTCTGACCACAGCCCCCCTCCCTGTGCCCCACCAGCAGGGGCAGGGAGCCAGGGGAACCCCCACGCCTTTTGCTGGGCCACACCCTCCCACCCCAACACCCCCTCTGCAAGAGGAAGTGGCTTGTTGAGGGGAAGCCACTGTGAGGCTGCTGCCCACCCCACACACCCCTGCACATCTCCCTGCCCACACACCACACCTGTCCCTGTCCACCCCACACACCCGTCCACCACTGCCACCCTGCACCTCACACCCCTGCCCACCCCACCCGTCCACCCCACCACCGTCACCACACTGCCTGTGTCACCCCACCACCGTCCACCACCCCTGTCACCACCTGTCACACACACCGTCCACCCCACCCTATCTCCCCACACACCCTGTCACCCCACACCCTGTCCACCCCACCCCGTCCACCCCACACCTATTCACCTACACCCACACCTGTCGCACACACAGCCCTGTACACCCCACACCCTGTCACCACACATCCTATGCCCACCTGTAGCCCCCCACCTGCAGCCCTGCCACACCCTGTAAGCCCCACAGCCTGCTTGCACACACTGTTCCCAGCTCACCACACCTGCGACCCCACACTGACCCTGCCCACACCACCACCCCTGCCCACCCCCACACCCCCTGCCCACTCCACACCCCCTGCCCACCCCACACCCCTGCCCTCCACACCCTGCCCACCCCACACACCCCTACAAACCCCACAGCCCTGCCACCACCCACTGCCCCACACCTGCAAACCCCACACCCCTGCCCACCCCACACCTGCCCACCACACATCTGTCCATGCACCCTGCAGCCCACTATGTGCCACCTGCCACCCACATACAAGCCCCACATCCTGTGCATACACCTGCCCCACCCACCACCTGTCTTGCAGCCACTGCTAGGCCCCAACCTCTTGCCACCTGCAAGCCCACACCTATCCACACGCATGCCTGTGAGCCCACGACCTGCCACTACACCACACCTGTAAACCCATCCTCTTACACACACCCACACCTGCTACCCCACACCTCCTGCCCTATCAAACCCCCAAGCCACTGCCACAGTCCTACCACACCTGCCAGCCTTTGCCCACCCCACACAGCCACCTGTCCTCTTTATGCCCCACGTGCCTGCTCCTCCTCTGGAGGTGAGGCACAACCGGAGCCTGGAGAGGCTCTGGTAGCCAGGTTCGGCCCGAGGCTGGCCCAGGAGGACAGCTGTCCTCACCTCTGCCCCACCGGGCTGTCCTAGAGCGCGGGTTCAGCCCCAAGGAGCTGGCCCAGGAGGACAGCTGTCCTCACCTCTACCCCACCAAGGAGCCTGTCCTAAGGGCTGGGCCCCACTGCAAGCTGGCCTAGGGTCCCCTGGCTTTATTTCCAGGGAAGAGATCGGGTGTGGATGCATGTGCAGGCATGGACGCGTGTACAGGTGTGGACGCGTGTGCAGGTGTGGATGTGTATGCATGCATATGTGACGGTGTTTACCCGCCAGAGACTTCCTTTTTCCTCTCTCCTTCCTGTGAATTCCTGGGTCCCAGGTGCGCCAGCTCGCTCCACAACGTCCTTACCCACCAGGAGGCCCCTGGCTCAGGGATGCCACCTGCAGCTGCCCAGCCCTCCGCCCATGACACCCTTGTTCCACCTGCCACCGCTCATGAAACTGTGGGTCACCCAGCTCTGCACTGGCTTGCCTGCTGCTGCTGTCTCAGTTTACCTGGGCAGTTGCCCCTGGTTATCCGGCTGGGGTGGGACTTGGACTTAGAAGCAGGCCCCTCCTCTGGGAGGCTGTGTCCTTGGGCCAGGAGGTGGCAGCCTCTACCTTCCTGAGACAGGGACCCTTTCTTGTCCATCACAGGTGAGTAGCCGGGCTCTGGGGCCTGGAGCCTGGAGGCCCCTGTGCTGTCTGTGAGTGCGGCCCCTCCCATCAGGGAGGCATTCAAGAGCTTCCCACCTGTGTCACAGGGAGTGGGGCCTGGAGCTTGAAGAGACCTGTGAGGGTCACACGGGTGCCTGAATCTGGCTCCTCTCTGTCCTTTGACTTGATTCTGAAGTTGTCTCTGCAGCACAGATGCACCCCAGGAGCTGCCTTTACAGCCTCTCCTGAGCCCAGGGAGGAGGAGGGCAGCTCCCCTTCCGGATCACCCTAGGCCTGGGTCAGCTGGGCGGGTCCCAAGGGACCTCTGAACCCCCACTGCCTGGGCAGCCCCCTTCCCCTGGAGGCACTCTGGCCTGTCCCTTGAGAGCCAAGATCATACTCAAACCGGGTTCTGGGCTCTGGGCACTGCTCTGCTCCCAACCAAGGGAGGTTCTGGGGCATGGCAGCCAGAGTGATCTCTGCTTAGGGTGGTTTCCGGTGAGTTCTGATATCTCAAACCCCAGCATCAGGGCCAGGGCAGACAAAAGAAGAGTGAGCTGGTCAGGGGTGCCCCAGTGGGGAGCTCGTTCACAACCTTTAAGGAGGGCAGGGCACAGCCCAGCAAGGGTGGCCACGAGGCCCTGGGCTTGTGGCTGAGATGGCAACTGGCTCTGGCAGTGATTGGAACAGTCTAGTCCATGGCCTTCCCTCTCAGTGCCATGGGCTGCTGCCTCCACTGGCCAACTCCAGTGGGCATTGATGGGCACTCTGCTTCCCCCCGCCCCTGGGAGCCTAGACTCTGCCTTCAGTGACGGCAGAGGGAATCCAGGGATGGTGCCCCTTCAAAGACACAGCTGTCTCCCGGGGGAGTCTAAAGGGATCCCACACATGTGTCACAGATGCCAGGGACAGACTGTAGGGGAGGTGTCTCCATCCACATCCACGCTGTGCCACCCACTAGTTTGTGGGGCCGGGCACCACCAAGCCTGCTATCCTGCCTGGGCCACTGCAGCCTGGGCTGAGACTCGGCACCCCGTGGGGGTGGAGGAGTGGGGCAGAGGCAGGAGATGCCCAGGGTAAGAGCCAGATGCCTTCAGAGTGACCCCCCGGGCCTGGGCAGGACTGGGGGCAGGGGAAGACCTGCTGGCAGAAAAATGCACATTGGACCCTCCTCCTAATGGTCCCCACACTCCCTGTGCAGACAAGGCAGACTGCAGGGCAGAGCTTGCAGCCCCATTCCTGGTGGTCAGTGTGCTTTATTTAGCCCTTGATGGAGAAACTGTTTCATGACAAACGGGGACAGTGAGCTCCTGACACCTTTAAAGCTGCAGTGTTGCCTCTCTCAGGATCCTAGAAGTGAACACCCATCCCCATTCAGGCCAGACCCTGATGCTCAAGGGTCAGGGCCCAGGCCCGTTGCCAGGCTGCCCTCTCTCTTGGACAGGTGCAGGGACCCTTGGGAGGGGCACAAGGTTGCAGAGGATCTTTAAGCAGAATGAGGAATCTGGTGAGAGAAAGCTTTAGGAGGCGGGTTCAGTGTCAGCGTTCACTATGGACAGAATCGTTTTCCTGCACAATTCATAGGTTGAAGCCCTGCCCCCCAATGAGATAGTGTTAGGAAGTGGATCTCTGGGAGGTAATTAGGGACAGATGAGGACATGAAGGTCCCTGGTCCCACAGAATTAGTGCCCTTATACGAAGAGTCATTTAGGAGCTCCCTCTTCTCTCTTTCTCTC